CGCGAAACAGAGTACTCATGGAGATTTGTCTTCCGTTTGATTCTGTATAAAAATTAAAACATATGGCTTTGTGTGGTCAACTATTCCACACGGCGACAAGCGGTACCAAATCGAACATTGAATTTTATAAAGAAAAATCGATAATCTTTTGATGCGTCGCCCAATATCGTTTGTGTCTAACACAATGCACAATATTATAAATATAAATAAAAGAGCTAAAACCGTAACGTTAAAGTTTAGACACACACACACACACACACATCTAGTAAAATAAAAAAGATATTTATAGTACTGGAAGAAAAGAATGAGAAATAAATGGAAATAATGGAAAACATTTTGTATAAATAATTAAAATTTAAGTTTACTCCAAAACATTTTGCATCATAAATTAGAGACCCTGTATATTATCGTAAAGTATCCTTGTCACGTTCCTTGTTAAAGAGTAACATTACATAAAGATACGATATTGCCTTTATTGGCATTGCAAACTGCTGTATCATTAATGAGTGAAAATGATTATTAACAGATGATTCTTCCGCTTCTCGTATAAAGCAAAAAAATTAAATAATTAAGAGTTTAATTCCTATCGCTTAATCCTTTTGTCTGTCACGATTTGATCCGTGTACGCGACCGTTTTTAAGCCGATTTCTGGGAATAAATTCCTTTAATTAAAAGTCTCATTAATAATTGGAAATGTTAATTGACGGTTTTATTACCGCAGTATAAGTGTAGAGTAACAGTAAATCGATTGGGGCAATATATTTTTACCGCATGCAAATATACTTTTACCTGCCATATAATACCCGAATTATTTACTAAGTTTAGTAGAAACGTCTCTATATCCACTTTTTATTTCTACAATTCTGAAAAGTGTCTTACATTGTTATGTTTAATAATGTTCTAATAAGTTATGCTTGATAGTAATCTAATTTATTGAAAATTTGATAATACATTTAAATATCTAATATATATATTTGTGGAACAATCAAAAATATTATTTGCCTATCGATTGATTTAATAAGACAATATTTTTAAAATATAACTAGAGATAATAGAGATAATATTCTGCATCAATAGGTTGCTGATATAAAAGCATTTTCATTAGAATGTCGCACAGCGATTCGTCGTATCAAGAGCTGTTGATATCAAATGTAACAAACTTTCAAGTTTGCATTTGCCAAGAAATCGCGAAGGGTATTAACAAATAAATTATGCACACGATATTTAGCTAACTTCACGAGTCGGACTGACTTGTAGTTTTTTATATCAAAGTATAAAATAATCCATAAAATTTGTCGTAAATTGAAAGCAAAGCACCATTATGAAAGACATAGAGATATTTAATTAATTTTGAATTAATCTTTGCCAGTAAGTATATAAATGATTCCGTGATATAACAAGTTGTATATATTTTATCCTATATTAACCCTAAATCAAGGCAGACATTTTTTACTTCGGAAAAAATTACGCGTGTGATTTCATATTCCGTTGAAAAAGATTGAAATATTTTATTATTATTATTATTATTCCCTTCTTTTCATTCAGAATATTGATGTTATTTGAAAAAGAATATCTGAATAAAAATATTATTTAAAAAATAGTCAAAAAAATAGAAAAAATAAAATTTTTCTTACACAATTAAACAAAAAATATACTCATTTCATGTTAACCAACATATGTATTCCGCACATGCACGAATGATCGCAAAAAACGTGATATATTTTGCAAATTTATTTATTTAATTACTATAGCTATACTATATTTTTTTTTATAACAGACAGTAGTATAAATCATCAACAATTTTGCAATTGCCAGTACCAGCCCATCATGAGTTATTAGTGGTACGCGACTATGTCTGGAAAACAAACTCTCTCTTTGTGATTTTCATTTTTTTTAAATAAAAAATCGAGAATAATTTTTTGAAAAATATTTGTAGAAGAGGAATTGTATATCCTGGTATGCCTATGTATAAACAATAGTAAAAGAACGTGTTTAAAATTGAATTTGATTCCAAATTAATTAGTTATTCATTGTTAATTTATATAATTTGCATTTTATTATAAACTTATCTTAAATAATATTAATATAATATTTATTTATATATATACAGGGTGTCCATTCATAAATGTCCGAGCAAATATCTCACAACTGATTAAATATCTCACAACTGATTGAAGTTACAAGAAAGTTTAATAAAAGAAATTAGCACAGTTTTTAGTTCGCAATAAAGCGCATGTAAAAAAATTTTTTTACTCGTATCCTTTTCAAGTAATGAAGATCACCATCGTCTTTTTTGATGGGGCCCCCTATTTTTTATTGCATATTCTTATGGCCCTTCCTGAGATCTTTTCAAAACACTATAATAAAGTATTTTTTCATTAAGTATTTTTCGAGTTATTTTATATCTTAATCTGACATATTTTGATATAAAATACATATTTTGTGCATCATGTATTTTATATCAAAATATGTCAGATTAAGATATAAAATAACTAGAAAAGTACTTAAACAAAAAATACTTTATTATAGTGTTTTGAAAAGGTCTTAAGAAAGACCATAAGAATATGCAATAAAAAATAGGGGTTCCGTTGGAAAAAACGATGGTGACCTTCATAACTTGAAAAAGATACAAGCACAAAAATTTTTTTACATGCGCTTTATTGCGGACTAAAAACTGTGCTAATTTCTTTTATCAAACTTTCTTGTAACTTCAATCAGTTGTGAGATATTTGCTCAGACATTTATGGACGGATACTCTGTATATAGATTTTGCATAAAATAGATTTTTAATTTATAGATTTTAAACATGAGAAAAAAATAATATAGAAATTTTCAGAATTATACAGATCTTTAATAAAACAATTATTTTGAAATCTTTTCGAGTGTTATTTTGATGTGTATAAAATAAATTCAGATCGTACTTCAATCGAGATATTTATAATCCAATATCTGTTGTTTCTTTAATGCGAATTCATTTGCGTCTAGATGAAATAACAATTGTGTTTTCAAACAATACTTTAGACAAACAATAATAAACTCGTTTTTGTATTTTTTTATTCGTATATCGCGCTGTTATTGCTTATTATTATGTCGCATAAAAGCGGTTTTTCCGTTGCCATGTAACAGCAAGTACATACATATGTAATTTTCGCGATAAATAAATAAATAAGTAAATAAATATATATATATATACATGTATATATATGTATATATATTGTATATTTGTACATATATTTGTGATCAGAAATTTTTGATTTTATTAAACATTAATATAATTATAACAAAAAATTTCAAACAGGTTTTTACAAGCAAACATTATTGTTTACCCGGCAAACCACGAAACCCGTCGCTTTTTCTTAATTATGAAATTTTATAGAACTAATTGCATTTGTAAAATCACATATTATATTTTGTGAAATTACATCATACTATAACTTTTTTTTTTGGTTTCAATCTATTTCATTAAATTTTGGGCGTTATCTTCCGATATTATGGCAAATAAATTTTCGCTATTTAATTAGTTTTATAATGTAATAATTATTTTTGCAGATAATATAAATAATTCAACATATTTTCATCGTACTGTGTACATTTTCTACAATTAATATTATTTTTATATCTTAATCTTTTTGTATTAGATATTATATTCGTATTAAATATTCCTTTTGACATTTTCCTCAAACGAGCCTGTGCGTACTGCGTTGCGCGCAGAGAAAAAATATCAGATCACGCATTCTGTGTTGAATCGCGCCAATCGATTTGAAAAGAGCAACCGACTGTATTCGGGCAATTTTCCGGACGTTCACAGGGCGAAAACCGCCGGGCGTGCACGTCACAAAGTTCAAAATGTATAGAGCGTGCTGTCATGGAACGGCACTGACGAAATAAGCGGACAGGTGCGGACGACTGGCCGATAACCCGATGACCCAGATACCTTCGATGATATTGATCAGCCATCGAATGTCTATGCAACCGCAAATGTCAAACGCGTCGGCACCTCGTACATCTTCCCTTCTTCCCCTTACCCGACCGTCGTCCGACCTTTTGTTTTCGCTCTCCCTCTCCCTCTCTATCTCTCTCTCTCTTTCTCTCTCTGTTATTACTTGATCTTGTATCTTTCATACTTACCCGACCTCGCCTGCCTGCCACGCGCGATGTCCTTTTCCGTTACCCTCCGCGACAAAATTGGATTTATGGCTTTATTTTCCTCCTTTGTGGACAACGTTTATCGGCAGATTGCACGCCAAAAAAGCGCTGCTCCGTTATTACGGCGAAATAATGGAGTCCGTAGTCACCTTCACGTCGTAAGCGGAAAAAACCTTAACACATATACGGTATTTTGTAATATTCTGATATCTGCGAAAAGAGCTATGTTTCTTGTTGAAAATTGTTTAACATGATATCTTTATTAAAATATCGACGCGTTATATATTGATAATTATAATTTAAATCGAATTATTAAAGTATTGTTAAAATAGAATCTATACTTGAAATCGATTCAAAATGATTATTTCCCTCTCTCTCTCTCTCTCTCTTTCGTTCTCTATTTTTACATACTTGTAAAGAGCAATTCGATAAAACAAGTTTAATCGGCTACAGTATATGAAATCTATAAAAATCTCTGAATATTTTTGTTAAAAATCGTTACAGTTTTCGACAAGAGATCTTGCGTGCGTTAAACGCGCCATATTTAGAGAGTATTAATATTTATATCAGCATTGGGCATAACATATACTTTTCATATTTTCATACATTTTTACTCCTCTTTCGTTCTTTACTTCAATTGTACATGATGCCTATTTTTCTTTTTAAGCACAAAAATAATAATAAAGTACAAAAAGTTACGAAAATAGACGTATTAAACAATTAAATAAACGATAATTTACCACTAGCCTTCCGTGCTGTCTAATGTATCTGCGTACGTATGAATACCGCCGCGACAAGTTCATACGAATTGAGGCGAAAAGACCCGAAGGCAACCGACCGATGACGGTGACATATGGCGGCAAGGTCAGATTGCTACTACGCGCGCTCTTTCTTTACCTGTTGCGTATGACAACATACGCGTGTGCGATTGTTTGATTCGCTCGGAGATACGTAAAAGTAAGAATTTAACGCAGGCTATTACACGTTGTTCGTATAAGTATTTCAAAGGAGAGTGTATTTCGGTGTTTAAAGTGTGAAATGGTTATATTACGTACGCGCATTTATCACTCGTGCATAGTATAACCTAAAATTGAACCTGGGGAGTGAAGTTGACGCCGGTGCGCGCCAAATATCATAATTACGAAATGTGGCGGTACCAGTTGCATCGTCACTAACAATAAGCTACTGTTATTGTCGTCGCTAAATCGACTTTTTTCGGTGAGTATTCTCATATCAGAATAAAAATTATCTAACGCTTGTTTAAGTATCTATAAGACTTGATTAATATTAATGTTTTTTTTTTTTATCAACTAAGTTTCTTATATCATAGTTAAATCTTTAAAAATTGCTGAATTACAATTTTCGTGTCTGTTTCCAATTTTATGATGCATTATATAAGAAAATTGGAATGAATAGAAACTTTATTTTGTTATTTATTGGGTTTTATTTTTGACAGCAGGCTAATGAATTATGCACATTATTTACTGTAATAACTGTGCCATATGTGAGAACTATCAATAGTTTGGAATATATATTTGGCATTGAAAATTTTGCAATATTTAATATTTGAATATGGAAGATTATCTTTCTGCTGAGCTTACAGCCACTTGCGCTGTACTTGGATACTTTGACGGAACTGATTACCACTTAGACAAAAATTGTTTAGGTGAAGATATCTACTTTGTGTATATATTTCTAAATATAAACGAGAAAAAGTAATTAATTAAATATAATTAATCTCTTGACACAGATGTTATAAAAGATCTTATCAGATATCTTAGAAGAGATGATGATACACATACTATCAGACGTTTTCTTGGTCGAACAAAATTATTACAAACAGATCTTGTAAAGATTTTTATACATCATGTTAAATATACTGAACTCTGGGATGTTTTATTACGGTATGTAATATTAATTATCAGCTAAAAAACATATTGTGCATGAAAAAGATTGTACAATTTTTTTTGCAGGCGTAACTAAATTTTGTTATTTTTTTTCTGTGTAATAGATTACTTATTAATTTAACAAGTTCCACATTTGTAATTTACAATGAGCAGATACCAACTGAAAAAACAATGTATAGTTTATACCAACAAATAAATTCACATTTACAAGAATATAAGGCAGCATTAACCGATGAAAATGTGTGGTTAACAGTAGCTGGACGGTTGGGAATATTACTTAATATTGTGAGTGGCAAAAATCTTTGTGCTCTGATCAGTATGTGCGTGTATATGTGTATGTGTATGTGCGCACACCAGCTATAGAATAATTCTTATTTTATAGGATAGTACGGAAAGGGGGGAGGAAAATGAATTAACAATTGAAAGAATACTTGTTTTTATTAGAAATGTATTGCAAGTACCACCTAATGATAATGATAAAAGAGGTGATAATGATGCTACTGTTCATGATGAGGTGCGATATTACTATATTAAAATAAATCTTTTGCATTTTTGGAAACACAGCATAGCATATTGAATATTATTTTGAGTGACAATAAAAAGTTCTTTTTTATAGATATTATTTGCGTTTCATGCGTCAGATATAGTGGATATACTGTTGTTTATTGTCAGTAATAATAAGGAACAACAATATCACATGCAAATTTTGGAGGTATATAAAATTATGAATTACATTTATTCTTTTTATTTTCATATTTGAGGATAATTATGGGAATAATACTGTATGTTATTTAGAATAATTTATTATCCGTAAATAAAAAACAGTATTATTTTTTTATATATTTGGTTAGATTATATCTTTGATGTTACGTGAGCAAAATGCAAGCCAACTGGCTGCATCTGGTTTGCAACGCAGTACTGCTGAAAAAGAAAATGACGAGGCTAAACTTGTAGCATTACGAAAAAAGGAATTACACGAAAAGATAGACAAAATAAAAAAATATGCTGGATCTAGGTGAGTTTATATCATACATTTACTAATAAGATTATTATATCAATTGATGAGAGAGAGAGAGAGAGAGAGAGAGAGAGAGAGAGAGAGAGGGAGAAATTATTAATAAAATTGTAAGATATTAATAAATCTGTGATAAACATCCAATCATGTGCAAATTAAAAAGGGAAGGATCGTTATTATACCTAAATTAGTCTCTGACAAATTAAAAAATGTCGGTAAAATATCTAACAATAAGATATAAAGTGACGTTTCTCTAAGTAACATAAACGTTTAAAATAAATGTACAAAAAAATACAAAATTTACTTGAATGATTGAAAAGATTCATCCGGATTCAATTGCTTTCAAAATTAAAATGATTTTCTAAACATCTATTCTATTTATAGATATTTTATTCGATATCAGCGTACGGAACGCCGTATGTAATGAGGGCTAAGTACTTTATTCATACATGTTTATTCATACGTTAGCCATATTATTCGGTGTTATGAAAAACGGGAAATGTACTTTCATGAATAGCTACCGCATAATTATCGTTTTAATGAGCGGCTTAAAAGCTCGCGATCGTAAAAATGGGATGACTAAAAGGCACCGATTGCTACTTGACGGACGCCTTTGGGAATTTTCGCAACGGCATGGCGGTGCGATACGCATATAATGAATATGACCTAGTTTTTAAAACAGGACTACCCGAAGCATGAATAGAAGCTTTTATCCACTTGTTGGAGAGAAGCGAGCCATATTCTTGTAACGAGCGCGCGTTCCAGAAGCCCGTGGATGCGCGCATCCCTCCCGTCTTTGCGAAAGGCTTTTTACGACTTGAAAGGGAATGTGCGATGAAAAGATCCCTTCGCCTTCCTCGTGTTTCCTATCGATCGATGGAAAGATAATTTGATCGGAAAACGATAAAGCAGCGCCTAGCTGTGTCACGAACATAGATCTTCTTTTGATAGCAACAAGTAAATATAGTAACGAAATTGGATGGCTGTGTCGTATATGCACTTATCGTGATACACAATGTTATATATACTTATATATATAATTTTGGCTTTTAAATTATTTTTATAAGAATTATTTTATTTGAAAAAATTATTGCTTTTGGAAATTACAACTTTTTTTCTAAATTGAAATTCAAGAAATTGATTAGTAGAAATAATAAATTATCAAGCATTTTAATTTTTTTGTGATGGGGTGCTCGCTTTAACAAACTCTTCGGAAAGTTAATTGCTTGTCTAAAAAATATTTGGAGGAAGGTGATGGAACTAAGTTTCTTGCAAAAAAGTAAGAGAAAATGGATTGGGGGGATGCGCGTCTTCGTCATTTAGGAAATATCTGTTCTTGACAACTGCCTTTTATTCCATTGATTGGATTTTCGGGAGTCATGGTTGAAATTGAATTTGAATGATGTACTCCTTTTTTTAGTAGCATTAGAGGCCAGCATATTATTTTAACTTTGCAATATGTGCATATATAGAGGCCGAAGGGGAGAGCGAAATCAAGACAAATTTAATTTTTGTTTCCCGATATTTTGTATGTCCTAAGATGTTACATTTGTATTTCTTTGAAAAATACTTTTGCGCAAAAATAGATTTAATCTCTGAAATTATATGTTCTCTTACTCAATTAATTAGACATTCACGATTTGGCGGTACTTACATTGTGCGGAATATGAAAGCAACCGGAGAAAACCAAATGATATGTCATAAACCGTATCAAAAAATCGAAACCTTGGAATTTGGTCACAATAAGGTAAATTTTGCAAAATCAATTAGTAATGCATGATCTTTCTTCACTTTCTTATGATATCCAAAAACATCTAATTGTAGAAATAGTTTCAATCTTGTGTTGTATGAATTATATGAAGAGGAATCAGTAAATAAATAATTAGAAAGTACATATCTTTTATAACAGAAAAGAGTGAAGCGACGTAAAGACAAAATGGGCGTACAGGACGCTAAAGTGGAACGTACATCTATTCTCAGTGTACGACTTTTTCTGAAAGAATTTTGTGTAGAGTTTCTTAGTGGAGCATACAATCCCGTAATGAAATTCGCTAGATCTTGTATTATCAACGTTACTCACAGCGAAGCATCTGAAACGACTTCCTATCTGTGGGCTTTGCGTTTTTTTATGGAATTCAATCGCCATTACAAGTTTGAAGTGAAATATGTGAGGTAAACCTTGGTACTTTTCAACTTTCTTATAACAAAATCCACATTGTTGCCGAGTGCATACCCCGCTAAAAGACAGAAAGCAAGACAGTTTCCGAACTCGTTTTACGCATCGTCGCTTTCTTTTGGATCTTGTGTCTAGAAAGAATTCTAAAAAATTTCTTTAACATCTGTGTGCGAATCTAAATCCAATTTTACAACATGAAGTAATTTTTATAATTATTTTAAACGTGAAAATTATTAAATAGCCAATGTAGGGTTTTGCAGAATGTATTAATGTTTGCCCGATGTCAATGGTATATCAACATTCAATTATTTTCTTTTATACTAGATGAAATTGTACGAGATGATAGTTAGTGAAAGTTATTTTATATATTTACACATATTTCTCGTTTAAACAATATATAGTACATTTGAATTATTTTTATGATTCGGATTTTATTTACCATCCAAATTTTATTTACGATTCATTATTTGTGGAGTACCGGGCAGCAACGTATACGATGTATATGTTTCTGTATTTCTATCTGATTTAGTTTTAATGATAGAATGTTTGATTTATATTGATCCTTTTCATAATCGCAAGCATGTAAAAGAGATTGTACCAATTTTATATATTTTTTGTATAAGTTTAAACTATTTTTTTGTATTATTAATAATCATCAAGTGTAATTTATTATTTATTTTACTTTATTACTTATTGATCCATTGATTTATGGATTTTAGCGAAACAATATCCACAGAAGTGTTTTATTTAGTACAAAGGCAAATGGAACAATATTACGAGATGATGATAACCGATAAGAAGAAGATACCGCTTTGGTCTCGTAGATTGCATTTAGCATTAAAAGCATATCAGGTAGGAAATTGTATGCAAAATCAGTATTGCATGGTGAATATCTAGAAAAGTTGACGAAAATATATTTCACATTTTAGGAACTTCTTAATACTCTTATGGTAATGGATAAGAGTATAGATTACGGTGTTAGGGAATCCAGCAAAATAATTAAAAGCAACATCTTTTATGTCCCGGAATATCGGGAAACGATACTCTCTCAGCTTTTGTGCTTTGACGAAACTAAAATGTCACGGTAAGTGAATAGAACCTTATCCAGAAAATTTTGGAAGGGAGAATGATTAATAAAAATTATCTTAAAAACTGAAAAAACATAAATTGTGCATCTCGCTATAGCTTTTAGTTTACAATCGGCAATCATTCGATGTATTTAATTCAGTAGAATAAACCGCGAATCTGTCGTGAATTTTTAGTAGGCCGTAATAAAAATAATGCAGGTATCGCGAAAAGTTACGCGACGCGTCGCCGAACAATCGCGTCTGTACCGGGCGAATCCACGTCGCGTCTCGTGGAGAGAGAAAGAACTCTTTACCGAAAGTTTTATCTACCGCAGACAGATTGATTCACTTTCGGATCAATCGGTTCGACCAGCCAGGAAGCCACTCTGGCTCCCTCCGACGCCATTTCGACTATTTCTCTTCTTCGGCTGGGTCTCTCTTCGCTAGCTTTTCGTACACACCCGTCCCGTTTCTTCCTCCCTTCTGCGCGATTCCTTGGCGGAATAAACAACTTTTATCGACCTTCCGGTCGGCGAAATGGGAAAAGGCGGTGGGCGTTCAACTTGCTACGAGTTTGACGGGTTTTGCGCGGATTTCCACGACGGAAATGTAAGGGCGGCGCGACGTACCGCAATGCCACGTTGCTGCTACTTTGACGTTATACGGCAACGACGAAAACAGGACGACGTCAAACTTTAGTTTTCATAGTAGTAACATTACCGAAACTAAATTGACAAATTAATGCACGGGTAGCGAGATTGAATTAATTTCTTGTCACAAGGAAGGAGAAGGCGGTTTAAGTTGATCGTTATTCTTGTAATTATAAACATAAAATAACATAATTGATTTCTTGTCACAAGGAGAGAAGGAGAAGGCGGTTTAAGTTGATCGTTATTCTTGTAATTATAAACATAAAATAACATAATTATATAAATATACGCGTCTTTTTAGGCAGTACTTAGTGGACCTTATAACGACTGTTCACATATTTTTGAAAATGCTCGAACATTTTTGCCAGAAAGGCCAACGGCACCTCGTGGTTCAACAAACGCAGCTAAAGCGAAAAAAGGCTAAAAAACGAAAAAGTAAGATTTATTTATATAATGATGATTCAGAAAAATGGTTAAAATAATATAAATTAAATTTGATATGCAAAAACTTGTTTAAACAGAGCCTGCTCATCAGGAGAATGTAATTCCGGCTCCTACTTTGGAAGAACGTTGGGACATTATTAGTCCTGAATTATCTGCTGTAATGCGAGATGCTGTCATACCAGAAGTGATACCATTTGACGCAACCTTAGATACGCCTATTGACGATCAGAAGTACGTAGCTTTATATGATTGAATTAATTAAAATAATTTACTTTTCTCAAATATTTATGTTATTATTGATGTTTTTGAAATACAATTGAAATTACGCGTCTAAGTTTTAGTTTCTGTTTTGACTTATAGATCAGATGCCATGAAGAAAATACAGAAATTAATGCGGCAAAAGAACTTAGAACAGGCGCTTGGTCTCTTACGTGCAGCAAGGTAAGATACTTGTTTGTTTTAAAAAGCGATTACCGGAAAGTAACTCGTCATGAAACTTTTTATGCCGAAGCGTTTGTATTTTAAGAATCAATTTTACACTTAAACTGTCATCATGCAATGTAACGAAATTTTAACAAGCAGTTCTAATTTTCTTGCTGCTTTATTGTAATAAAGTATACTAGAAATTATTTGGATGCTTTTGTTGTAATAAAAAATTACGTGTAATTTTTCGTTTATAACGTTATAATTTAATACATCGTGGTGAATTAATATATGAAAATTTTATTGATTCTGTGTCGCGATAAAAGACCATTTTTATATAGTGTGTTTTTGTATAGTGACCTGTATTTACATTTTTCAGTATTTAATTTTTAATTTATATAATTTATATAATTTATATAATTTTTTATATGATTAATATAAAGACACCTTTATCTGTTTATCTTTTCACATATTTGTTGCAATATTTATATAGCAGAGTATAATATATTTTCCGACGACACTGGAGATAATCTCATGATAAGACCGACATTAATTATGGAAGTTTTGAAAACTTTATTTTTATAAGTTAAAATGCATTACGTTAGGGTTGAATAGCCGGTAAGAACTGGAATCTATTTGTAAACTCGAATTTTTTATGCGCGCTTTGAGCTAAAAAAGTTATAATACACGCAAAATATATAATCTTACGAGATATTAATACAGACAGTTTTTAATTATGTAATAAAATTATAATTTGATACATTCTTTTTTTTACATATAATATATGATGTAACGCGATATATATAAAATAAGCTTCTCATAATTAGATTATCTCCACTTAAAAAATTAAAAGCGTCTTTAAAAACTTTGACAAAGAAAATCTTAATGAAGAATATTATATAATTGTCTCGCAACTCTTATTAGGGATTATTTTACTACAATTCTGGTAATATATATTAATTACACGTATTGACTTGTTGGAAATTTTTTCGGTTTTGTGCACCAACCAGTCATACGGCCAATTAACTGGCGAAAAGCCAGGCGTTTGCACTGCGGCGGATATTTACATTACATTAAATCTGAAAGGGATCTGCCGCGCTCTCTTGTAACGCGCGTCGGTATACACCGGTTCACCGAGGTGAACGGGTACCCAACCAACTCTTTGAAGTGTTCCAGCTCTAAATGTGCCTATGAGTCATGTCCCTCCGTCAACTTGTTTCTGCGTTCCACCTCGTCAAACCTTCTCGCTCTAAGGCTTAATCGCCGCTTCAATGCTTCCGCGAGATTCGATACACCCTCGTCGACGTGTAAATAGATTTCTCTTTACGTCTCTTCGTCTCAAAGCTTTTTCGCCTTTACGTTGAACACAAATGCGCATACATATCTCGTGAACGTTTCAAGCTCTATTTTTTTAATAAAAAATTTTAATAAAAAATTTTTTTAATAAAAAAATTTTTTTAATAAAAATTTGCAAATACTATTGAAGAATAACGTTTATAATTTGAAACGAGAGCTTGTCAAACTCGAACATTATGTCGAAAATAATGTCGTCGTTCCACTATAAAATATAATTTCAACTGAAAATACACGATCCGTAACGTTACTAATCTTTAACTTTATTAGTTCTGTCAGATTAGAGTGCCATGATATAACCGCGGGGATAGAAGAGCCGTTTTTATCGTCGCTGTCTTCTTCTATCATAAAGCTATGAAATTATAGTCCTTCCCGTGATTTTTCTTTACGCGGTATCGTCGCTGCGAACTACTTTGGGAGATTGTACGTAATATTCCATCGTCCATTTTACGGTGGGGAGTAATGTTTACTATGACCGGTACACAATGGGAGTCTGCAAGATCATGCCGACCTTGTGCACACAAGGGGATAAAAGTAGCAGACTATTGACTACGTCGTATATAGACTATGTCTGGGCCTAGACAATATTATTAATAAGACATTTACGGTAATACGTAGGTATGTAAGTCAAACAGTCTAATATTTCATCCTTTTCGCGTACACGTCTTGGTTTCTCGGTTACGGATAGTGCTTCTGGTAATCGTGTTTCGTTTGCCTAGCAAATACTCCGTCGTCTGGCTACTAATTTTAACCCCCTAATTTTCCACTTGCACCGTCTGCGTTCCTTACAGTGATTTTAATTTTCAAAGATTACATAATTTAAAAAAATACAGAGGATGATTACGAAGAAAAAAATTGCGTTGATTTATCCTTTTTTTTTTCTTTGTTTCTTATGTGGATAAGTAGTGCAGTAATGATTTTATCGCTCGCGAAAAAAAATCGTTTTAGTTTTCCTTTTGCTTTTGTATTTATTTTGAGATATCGATTTGTGATTATTTTACAGAAACAGATTTTTAGATTTATTCACGGGAATATTGAAAATATAGATTGTTTATAAGACGATTATTAAATTTTTTTTACATTATGTACTAGACTAAAAGAATGGTAAAGAAAATGAAAATAATTGCAGTTCTTAAAAAAAGAATTACAAGTAGCGCGCGACAGCATATCTATATTTTTAAAGAACTTTTTCGCGACAATTTAATATTTAAAATCACGAAGGCTGATTTATCACTTTGTCAAGCATGAGAATGAACGTGTCAAAATTATCCATTTCGTGTCTGGCAAAGCGGTATCGGCTTGTATGTCGGAACGTTGAGTCGAGAGACGACGGTGGTGACGACGACGCCGACGACGACGATGACGACGACGACGACGACGACGACGACGGGCACAGCGCGTCTGAGAGATTCCATTGTCACGGAACTTGAAATCGGGGGATAATGGGAATTGTATGCTGCTGAATTTCTATTCAGGCAGCCAGCAGCCGCGCCATACGAGCCACTTCTTCCGCTCGGGGGACAGCAGCCTTCCTCTTTTTTTGCGTTTTCACCCTCGCGTTTGCTTATTGGATTCATCTCTAGTGGGGAAAATTTCGGAAAGCTTTCTAAGGTGAATTAGACTTCCTTGACCCGCAATTCTGAAACGCTCTATAGTCGAGACATAAAATGATTAAACCACATTTCTTAAATAGAATCTAGAAATAGAAATTAAAAGTGATTAAAGAATGGATGTTTTTTTATAAATCGAGCTTTGATTATGCAAATCGATAAACTATCGAGAAATTATTCATTTAATTTTAAGTAAACATTACTTGAATACAATTTTTAATCCAGCCTTAACTAAGCATTGTTTAATTTGATATATTTAAAAGTATTATATTAAGTCAAATGATTTTGTTTGATATTCTTTCAATCTAACGATTTTTGCCTTAGATTCAAGAGAGAAATTTGTTTCTAACGGAGAAAATTCATTTTACATACGGTAGTTGCAACTCATCCGATGTATGGATTACGTTTCTGCTCGAGTGTAAACGGGGACAGATCATGTCCGGACTTGGATCCGATCGGAATCGTATATTGTAAAACGTACGAATGTGTGTTGCGTGTATACGCATAAAACGAAACACATTGTAGGTTCATATGCGCGTGTCTGCGTTAGAACCGTCCATACGTTTCGCTTTTATATGGTAGAATTGCAACTAAGTGCGATTTCGTGTCAAGTGACCAAATCCAATTCTCGGATTTTAATGCGACTCCGGCGCTATTAGGATGATATAAAGTAAGAATGATTTTTATTATCAATCGTGTGCGGCTACAATGAAATGAAGTAGAAAAGATTTTCATCGTCATTGTTGTTTTTACGACTGAGAGACTATGGCTATATCGTAAAAGTATATTGATGGACAAATTCATTATGGTAATATTATAATTTTTATTGTATTTTATATATTTTCCATCGCGATTCTTTGGCGTTTGAATGTTGGGTACTATATATTCTCAATTATAAAATTTAAATTTTTTTGTTTTACGATAGTTTTTTGTAGTTGCAAATTTAGAGAGAAGTAAAAATTATTTTTATGTAAGATATAAAACCAGAAAATTTTTTCAAATTTAATTATATGTGAATTGAAATATGTATTTAAAAATGGAGTAAATTGAGTGTGTAAAAATCAATTTACCACGGTTTATACAAATACTTATTAATAAACAGATATTTTATATTTCAACAATACATACATATTTAAAAATAGATAAAAATATATGTTTAAATTTTTTGTAGAATTTGAAGTTTTCAAATAATGGTTCTTAAT